TACTATGAGATTTAGCATTATCTATAATGAGCAAGACTTTCTTGTTCTAAATACAAAAGCCTTTATCATAATATTTTGACCACATTTTCTTTGTCATGATTCTTGATCATATGTTTGAGGCAGAATTGTATTTTTCTGCTATAACGCACATATTAATTAAAAATATATTGTGTTAAATTGATATTTGCATCAGATTATAATTCTGCAAATATCTACTCTTATACTAATAAGGCTTTTGCCCTAACCTTATAAAACTTGGTATTTAAATTTTAATTTGACATATAGCATATATTTATTTTCTGTAGTTAAACAGAATACAGTTGGATTTTAAATCTATTAGCTTCAACATAAATTCTATTTTCTCGTACTAGCATAAATGATTATATGCCCAATTAAATTTTTTTGTAATAAATTTTAGATAAAAAGTATATTCGATTATATAATACGGTAAATACTATAATATCAAAAAAAAACATATATTTGATCTATTTATTATTGAGAAAGCTAAATGTTAATTGTAAAAAATGGTGTTTCCAAATCAGCTAAAAACAAATTATTTAATTACCACTTGGTCTTTTAATCTTTTACTAAATAAAATACTCTTGACTAACCAATAATTCATTATTAATGTCAGTCAATTCTGAATTTGATAAATCACTTTTGTTAAAATCATCATCAGAATTTGATGCCAATAGTGCAGTAGAATCTTCATCATCTTCACTAGCATCTTCAATTTCAGTGTAGTTATCTTCATTTTCAGTTTTTTGAAATATAAAAGTTGTTGAAGCTGATTTATAAAGTTTTTTAAGTTCATCTAATTCCTGGACCCGATGACTTTGATTAAAAATTCCACGTAATTAACTAATTGCTAATACTTTTTGAAACTATAAAGTAATTAATTAAAATAAATTAAATAAAAAAAAATATAATAACATAAAAAAAGAAAAAAATTTACCAGTAATTTATTACGTCGATTAGAGTAAATAAATCCTATTGAAGACCAAAGACATTCAACAGATGCTGCATCTACGCATATTTCATAAATCTGTAGTACTACTTGTTCTAATTCTTTAGCACATGATGCATAATGGCTCCAGTATCCAATTACATCATTACTAAATTGTCTCGATGTTATGGCATTAAATGGTGATTGTTTTTGGCGAAAAAGCTCAAGCTCTCGTAATATTGAATTTGATGGTTGATTAAACTATTTGGAATAGTAATATAAAAGATATTCATCTACATCAACCCATAATAAGTTTTCCAATTCAGGATTAAATTTTTCTATGAAGTACAAAGAATAATATTAATAAAGGCTGTTCCCAGGAATTCTATCATTTTTCTAGGCGGACCAAAAGTTGTTAACCAAGATGAGTATCATGGTATTCTTTGAGCATTCTAGCCAAGTAACCAAAAGAGTGTAATACTTCAAATAGTCATACTTTGTCACGTTGTAACAAGTTGAGGCAAGCATAATAAGGTAACAATAAAGACTTTATATTTTTTATTTGTCGCTACCAGTTCTCATCATTTATAATATTACATATTTTTCTTGACAGTAACAACTCAGAAGTACTTTAAAAATCAGAGAATTCATCACTTGAATCATCATGGGGCTTATATCTTGCAACTAATATCTAAAAAGATTTAGATTAATATCACAACTAATTAATAACAATAATGATTTATTAATTTAGTTATATTTACTTTAAGGGCTTCTTTTGTTTTAAGAAGACTTCTTAAACAATAAAAGTAAGAATTCTATCTTGTTACACCTGGCTTAATAATAGTTATATATTTATAGTACAAAATTTCTTGCTATTCTCTCAGTTTTCCAATAAAATATGCATGATTGATATTTCTGAAATATACTGCTATAGCAGTTACGTCGTTAATAGCCTTTTTAAAAGTTGGTGATTCTTTAAAAATCTCACCAACGCACAAATTAATCTGGTAGGCAAAACACAGCAAGAAAATCTTATCCGTATGCTTTAATTGCAGTTGTTTCCTATACAATAAAGAGTGAATGAATTTATTTATTTACTCAAATTTATTTAATATAAAATAACAAGATTCAATACTCAAAACATATAATTACCTTGCCGCAGCATAAGCCGCAGCACTATCTGTTATTAAAGCTATAGCTTTGATATTCTTAGATTTTAAATTACTAAATAACTCTTCAATTTTTAAAATAATGTCGCTAGCACGTGATTGTTCTGCATTAACATCTTGAGCTTTCTATATTAGAGGCTCACCAGAGGAAGTAATTAAAACACTTCCTAATAAGTTCTAGTTAATTATATTAGTTCAGCCATCTAAAGTTACAGTAATCTCTACTTTATCTTTTTGCGCAGTTACTTCAATTTTGGGTATAAATTCAGAAACTGCCTTACTTAAAATTTTTTTACTCAATAATTTGCAAGTTGAAAGAGTAATCTTAGGGTTAAAATATTTAAAAGCAGCTAGTGAATCTGGGTTTTCAACCTATCTAAAGCTCTATCCGTTTGCAACTATCATTTTGAGAAGCAAGTAATAGAATTTCGATTGATTTGTTTTAGAACATTCATATATAACATGATAATTTAATAGTCCCTTATATTCTTCTAAATCACTTTGACTTTGATCGCTCAAATTCATTAGTACTATCTATTATTATAATTTTAGAGTTAGTATCAAATCTAAAATTTGAAGATAAAAAAACAATATAATTTATATTTATATTTGCATTTTTTTTTTGATTTCTCATTATCCATGTCATTTAATATTTTTTCAGCCTCACTTTCCTCTTTTTTATTTTTGAAATATTCACAGTTTTTTAAATGCGACTTAACAAACTGCTTTGTATTGACAAATTTACTTGAATATGCATAATTATGGCCTCTTGTTTCTTTACATACAGTACAAATAGCAAATCAGTTATATTCATTAGACTTTTCTTTTAGAACTTTTATAAATTCAGTCAAACGATATCGAATGGGTTTTTTATTTCTCATTATCAGCAATGATAATTTTGAAAAGTTATGTTCTCTTTAATATATTAATGTTGCTATTATATATAAAAATTGATTTTTGATAAATAAATATTGTTTTATAAAAATAGTTAAAACTATAGTTAAAAAAATAATTACTTTTAATGACTCATGCTCAAGTTTGAGTTTATATTAAACTAAAACTTATATAATGGCAAGTATCCTGTTCTTTCTTGTTTTATTTACTCCAAAGCTTATTAGCTTGTCAACAAATACAGAAGTAACGAAACAATATAAATTATATTGAAATGGTTTGTAAAGAGACACTGACTTGGGTGAGTATTTTTTTATTTATTTAATAGTTTATTTAGTACAGTCACATCTCGATATAGTCACCCTTGCTGTAGTCACAAATTTGATATAATCACACTTTTAGATTTACCAATTAATTTTATATTACTTTATTCTTTATATAGTTACAAACACAATATAATCACAGTCACTTATTTTTATATTACAATGATTATTAAGTATATAATAAATATATTTTGATATAATCACAAATTATATAAGCAAAAATTAAAACACACTATGTATAAATTCATACACTATATAAATTTAAGTTCTATGTATCTATTCTACAGTATCTCTCTATAGTTGCATGCTTTCTAAATGCACACTTCACCTTTTTTTGTTGTAGTCCCAAGGTCATACCAAGAGGTTTGAATTAATGTAGCAGTAGACAAGGACATTACTATATCAATACTGATTATGCAATGCTACACGCTTTATACTTCTGCTTGTAGCTATATTTCACAAAATGGAGACATATAAAAACTTTGAATAACAATAATAATTATGATATAATAGTGTGGTCCCAACAAATGTTAGTTAAAAAAACAGTTCAAGAGATCTAGGCTTCTTAACTTTTTAATCGAAAGTCTTAGTTTTGCTCAAAAATTTTTTTCTCTATATATACGATATCTTGTATATACACACATATATTTTCTTTAGACGTCTCACCTCATGAACTATAAGTTTATTTTTTTATAAATTTTTTTTTCTTCTAAAAGACTTTGGATATACATTATACCTTGTATATACATATGAGTCATACATCTTTTCTTCCAGAGTATGCCTTGCCTCGTGAACTCAGGTACCAAAAGTTTATACAATATCTTTTATATACACATATGCACATGCACATACATATACCTTCTCTTCCAAATTATGCTTTTTTTGTTACAATGCATATATTATCTTGTGTACACACACTTTCTTTCCAGATTTTTATGCCTTGCCTTGTGAACTTAAAGTTTTTTTTTTTTTTTTAAAAAAAAAACTTTTATACTATATCTTGTATAGCATATACACATGACACAAAAACTTTTCCTTTTGAATTATATTTTGTCTCCCAAACCAAAAAATTTTTGGGGGTTATCTTTTTTTTATTTTTAAAACCTTAATACAGAGCTTTATATATACGTACTTTTTTTTTCAAATTATGTCTCCTGATTATACAGTCAAGAAGACACATAGCAAACTTAGCAATGCCTAGCATAAAAAAATATACGAATATGCTAAAGCAAGACCAGCAGCTAGACATAAAGACATTGCGGAAGAGTTCATGAGAAAGTATCTTATACTAAACCTTGATAGATCAACTATTAGCAAAACTTTAAAAAAAGTGATTAATATCTTTTTCTTGAGAAAAACGTCCTAGTATAAAATCAGTATAAAAATAAACTACCAAAGTATCCCTTACTTGAGACAGCAATGATTATTTAAGTAAATCAAGTTTCCACTACTAGTATGGTTCTTTCAGACAAGTTGGTAAAATTAAAAGGTCACGAATTTGGCAATCATCTTGGCATTCCTGAAAATGATCTTAAGTTCTCAAATGGGTAAGTTTCAAACTTCAAGAAGTGAAATTCTTTATATCGATACAGGTTTAATAGTGAGACTGCCAGTGTGCTTTTAGAGACTTTAGCAGACGAGAAAATTAAGCTGAGACAACTTCTTTCTCAATATGAGTCTGAGAATATATATAATGCTGATAAAACCAGGTTATTTTATCGGATGTTACCAAATCAGATGTTAGCAAAGCAAGCAGTTTCTGGCAAAAAACAGATAAAATTAATCTTTTACTTTTTGGTTATTCTAATCTTAATAACCATAGCATTCTATTAAAAATTGTTGCTCATATGTATTCAGAACAAATCATGACTTACCATGTTGCTGGCTACAAACGCAACTGGCTTGCACAAACTTCGGCTGCTCATTATTGATAAATCAAAAAAACTACGGTCTTTCAATGGAATAAAGATATCACAACTTCTGGTTATGTATGAAAACAATGAGCATACATGGATGAGATCTGATATATGGAAAAAGTGGTTAAAATATTATGATAAAGGCTTTTGTATTTAGAACAAGAAAGTCTTGCTCATTATAGATAATGCTAAATCTCATAGTA